TGGGTTCTGCCCCAACATCCTCATGACGGTGCCCAGCTCCTTGGTGCTGATGTCTCCGCCGCCATCAGTGTCGAACATGTCGAACGCGGCCTTGAACTCTGGAAAATGAACGGACTCCAGATTACGTCCCGTGTTAAAAACAATCAAACACCCGATAGCGCCGTAGTTAACTCACTTCAAGAACTAGCTAGCTTAGCTGGAAAGTCAGCGGTGTTTTTTTTTTTGCGAATGAACCGAATCGCCACTATGGGCGTGTATAATGCGCTCACCTCCGATCTGTTCCTCGCTGAGGTAGGAGCGCGCGTCTGATTGCGCGTCCGTCGGCTGCAAGAGACGGGAGACAAGAGCCTCAGAATCGCAGAAAAGGCGCTTCTCGCTGGTGGCGGTGCTAGTGTCTTACCCTTTCAAGGACACCTTGAACAAATCAGATACCTTCAACTGGCCGTATCAAATCTGCCTTCTCCCCAGTGACTTGACACCAGCCATGTAGCACACCCGAAGAAGCGTTGCGTTTCCTTTCTTCTCTTTCCAGCAGGGAATAAACCTTTTACTTGTTCCTTTGCAGACGCAGCTACCCACCTGAACTACTTCTATTAGAAGAGACCTTTTAAACATTAAGACTTCAAACTTTCTACAACCAGAGCCTCGTGCGTAGAAGAACCCGATGACTTCAATAATAATTTCTGAATTATTATTCAGACACGTCCAGCCAGGACGGTTTCGGTTGATCATGCAATTTCTTAACCCAACAGGCTCAGACAGCGCCGAAGCGGGACCGCGCCTTGCAGAGCGCGCACACGCGCGAAAGGAGCGCGCCTTAGAGACGCCACTTCAGCGTGCGTGTAATAATAATGAAAAAATCTTGCACAAAAGATCACATCTGGTCCCGAGGATCAATATACAAAATATAATATATTAAATATAGATATATCTTCACAAATTTCGAAAAAATAAAATCATTCAAAACGAATTGATTTGATTAAACTGTGCATCTGTAGAATCTTAAAATGAGGCCAAATTGCACAAAGTTATCTGTGTTTGTCACTTGATCAATAACATTTAGACAATCTTTCAGTTGGCCTTAGAAACTGACCCCCGACACGCACCCAGCCCCGCGAATGTAGAAACACCGCGTCTAAATAGTTTGCGTTGATACCTAATACCCACTGTGCGTTTCCACCATTAAAGTTTGGAAATCCTACCAGATAATATCGCTTGCTTTAATCTGGCTTCACGGGAGTTAACATCACGCAAACGTTTTGATGTTTTTTTTCTCGCTTGCGAAGCGTGTATAACCTAATATCCGTCGGCTGCTTTAATCGCAACTCGCTAATACCCGAGAGTATATAGTTACGCATATTTCGAATTATTAAAGAAAAAAATCGGTTTTGAGGCGCGTGACCGCTGGACCAAAACAGATTGTTTGCGCTACATTCTCAGTAGTGTGCTTTCTTCCGGTGATGAAGACCCCCAGTTCTGCAAAGCGACAACTCAGCGAAACTCTTCAGCCGGCCGAGACCTACAGCACATCGCTCCCGCACCTGGCCAAGTTACCGAAGACCTTCGGATCATTTCCTAGCCCAGCTGACCCGGTCGCTGCCCTGACAGTGACCCCGAGTCACCCAACCTGCTCGCAGCTGCTGTGAGCTCTGGCACAAAGCAAAGCGAGATCTTTACCGTCTCGGAGAACTGCTCTATTCGGTATGAGTTTGAAAATCCTCGATTCATACATCCTTCTACTATTTACAGATACTCCGGTGCCAAGCACATGTCCTAGGGTTTAAAAACGTTTGTTAAACGTGTTTGTTAAAGGAGTATGTTTATTGCATCTGTGCATGATTAAACATGTCGTTTTGGACCGTTACTGGTATACCATTATGTAAAAAAAAAAATCCTTCCAAGTTTGCCATTCGGTGGATAAAGCGGATGCCTCCAGTATATAAAGCGATTTGAGATCCTTTGGGAAGTAAGGCATGATTACTGAGGTATCCCTCTCACATTCCACTGTCTCCCGGGTGTAAGGAATAGTTCCAGACGTGCTGGAGTTCCGGGTGTGGAGGTGATCTTTCACAAGACGTGAAAACGAGATCGGCTGTCTTCCACTATTAAGAGAGAGAGTCGCCATATGTCCCCATGATCTTCATTATCAAATGCATCTTTTCTCCTTGTTTCCTGGTCTCTACGGAGACACCGCCCCGAGAACCATCTCTCCCCTCGTCCGGACATTCTCTACTCTCAGAAAGGAGCGGAGAAGTCGCAGGTTTGTCTTACCATGTTTGCGGGTTACGATAGACTCCCACAGAAGAAGAGCTCCCCTCCACAGAAAGACTGCACGTCAGCTGGGGTTCACCCACCTTTTAAAAACGGCTACCGGGGCCACGCCTCTCCGCCCCACTGGCGTCCAGAATTAGAACCCTTAACTTTTAGGGTTTTGAACAGGATCCAGCCAATAGAATCTTGGAATGCGATGTCCATTTGTTTCTATGAACATTTGCACTGCGCTGAATTCCAGGACAAAGCTGGAGAGCTGGGGGGTAAGACCCTACAAACAGTACCTTTCACGCAAAAACCGCTCGGTGAGATGCGGGGTCTTTCATCTGAAGCCTGCTTCACGTTGGTGCACGCGTGCGTTTTCTTCCTGTGTTTTAATTGTTCCTGTCTGTAACTTGGAAGATAAAGATTTTGAAACGAAAACTCGTCAGATCCTAATTTTCTGCTTTATAAAATTATACTTCCATGTAATTTTAATCTCTGAGACGTGGAAAGATAACCTGAGGATTGATTACTGTTGCAGTACAAAGTGTAGAGAGATACAATACTAGGTGTAGAGCATATTTTGGAACTTTTTCAAAATATGATTAACTTTTTTTAATCTAAGGAGTTAAATATGGTGCTCCAATTTATTGACGTTGTAATATTTATGTTTATAGGGAAATGTGCGTGTATTTTATTTTGTGATTGAATTTGTTCAAAACAGTAAAACACTATTCCTTGAAATGAGGCGATATCAAACGACCCTTCTCTAAATAGCAAGCAATGCAGAGCCAGCTGGGTGTGTCCTTCACATAGGGACTGCTAGTGCCAAACTGCAATAAATTCATTATGTCATTATCACTGGCTTTTGGTTTGATGTTGAACCTCTCCTTATATAGATACAGGACCCTGGAGCATTCCAGGAGGTTCAGGGAAGTGGACCAGGGTTCCAGAATCTACAGTATATAAGACTTGACTTTCACCATGCAGGCTGCAGTCTTTCACTGGTACAGAGCAGGGCCACCTGAAGTCAGAGCTGCTTTTCTGAAGCCCTCATGCGGGTCTTTAATTCACCTGTAGCTGGAGCCCCCAGGAGACTGCAGAGCTCAGAGGACGAAGCAAATGGTTTTCACTGCTGCTCGGGGATTGTACAGAATGGCTCTGGACATCCAGAGAAGGGCATGGTTCTGGATAAAGCTCTTGATCTCTAAGGCTCTTTTAGTCCTGTGTGAGCCACAGGAGGTCTTGGTTGTATCGGGACTTGGGCTCCTGCTGTTGTTGGATCAGTGGATAAAACGTGGCCCCTGAATCTGCTACTGTTCTCCACTATTGGAAAACCCTCTTCAGCAATACATCTGTGTCTTTGAACTCCGCACTGCACCAAAGAAAGAAGTGACAAGATATCAAATATAAAATCATTTTGGAGAAGCACTACACTGTACATGACACAATTCAAATACAGTCAACCACCAGAGGAGGACTCTTCAGGTCTGGTCTACAGACAACCAGTCTGTGCTCTAACCAAGCTCTTGATGAAATGGTCATTTAACGTCCAAGTTGGACATCTTTAATCCTTTTCAGGTCCCTAAAGTTGTCGAATTGAGCTTTAGGTAACACAAAACTAAAAACGAGCCATTTAAAAGGGTGAAATAGAAACCAATGTTGAGTTCCATCAGCATGAGCCCTGGTAAAAGAACCCAAAGCAAAGACTATATTGGGGTCCTGGGAGCCATGTGTGACTCTGAACAAATGTTTTTTTTTGTCCCAGATTATTTTTCCAGGACAATTTTACAAGTCAGAACCTTCCTTTTCCACAATTAACCCTTTGTCTTGACACATAAACTCTAATCCCACACACATCAGAGTGATCAGCCCAGGATGTGATCATTAAATCAAAACCTCAACCACAAACCAGCCAGTCCCAAGCGATCATCGATCCGCTCAATGTCTGCTTCTGTCTGTCCAGAGGGAAAAAGTCCTCAGCAACCTCAACAGCACACAAAGCATTTGTGTGCTGGGGGGCTTAGAGTTTCGATTTAATCCAGGCTCAGCTCTCAGTGTTGTGTAAAGAGAGAAGTCAACTCCAGACCCTATCTCCTCTGTGGCTCCGGCACCTATAGAAGTGTCTCAGTCCCTGACTGGGAAAGTGGGTTGTGGCACAGTGGTGCACGAATCTCTCAGCTGAGCACTGGCAGTCCCACAGTGTCTCAGAAACTCAAATACCCCAAAGGTACAGTGCTGCCCTGCTCACTCACACTGTGTAAAGCACTGGGACCTCTGACTCTCTCTCTCCTGATGTCTCAGAGGCTGTGTAAGCAGGCCCTGAAAAAATCCAATTAAATCTGAGCCTGTAAACCTCAAAAACCTCAGGGTGTTGGTTCATCTGAGTAATGGAGAGTCCTGGTGTGAGGAGAAACTGAGAGACCCCGCGCGCGGTCATCAAGAGTCAGGAATGTCTGCCATTACTGTCCCACACTGGCTCTGGAAAGCACCCATCCAGTACATCTGATGTCATCCTAAATCACCTGTCTTTAGAGATAAGGAACACGTGTAAGTTACTGAAGGGATGCTCTTCAGATTTTCATTCTGGGGGATCTTTAAATTACATTTAATTTAAAAAAAATCACAAGATGAATAGATCACAGCAAAAGCCTTCCAAATCTTTATAAATCAAAGATTTAAGGGGTTGGCAGAAAAACAGTTGATCTGGGACACTCATAACCATCAGAATAAAGCCAAATGTCTGAGAAGTTGAAAACAGCTTTATTTCTATTCTGTTCTGTACAATGCTGGGATGATGCAGCTTACGCTTGTGACCGGTTTCACATGTCTGGGACAGGTGGTTAAGGAGAGGGGTTTTGAGGTTGGCGCTGGAGTACGATTCCCAGGGTCCCATCATGTCAATGAGAGGGAGAAGAGGGGAAGACTTTGTTTC